AAGCAGCTTTTTCGGGTTCTTTGACTCGGTCGCCCCGCCATGCCTGGGGCCTCGTGCTGCACCTCTCAGGAGACCCCATATGGGGTCGAGGCCAGAAAGCCAGAATGCAAGCGGGAGAGGAGCCCCGGGCAGCCGGTCTGCAGGAAGCGGCGCGGTGTCCGGGCAACCCCGGGAACGCGCCTGGGCCGGCGGCAGGTGCAGGCGGCGACAGCGGCAGCGTCCCTCTGGCCCTCCTCTAGTCCCGGCATTCGGCAGTTCGGACGCCAGTTGGTGCGTCGATCTCGGCCGCATTCTCCATGGAGGCCTCCGAGGGTAGACCTGGGGCTCTCCTAGAAAATGGAGTACCAAGACCCACAGGTGCAGAGGGAGCCCCTCGGTGGGCGGGTCAGCGATCCCTGCTGGGTTGGGGGGCGGGGGCGAGATCTTTCTGGAGCCCTAGGGGCATCCGAACCCAGAAACGCCCCTGGGCTGCAAGGAGGGAGGTTCTGATTTAGAGCCCAACCCTGTGCTCTTGACTTTCAGAGGCTTGTGGAGTACGTTGGTTTTGGCTGATAACCTCTCATGTGAATGTCTTGTCTTTGTCTCTGGGTCACTGTTAATATTTAAAATAACCACGTGGATAGATGAGCCCGTGCACACTGGAAATGGTCTGCAGAGCTGCCATCTTCCCTCCATCTCAAGATCGACCAGCAGCAGAGAGCTGGAGAAGGTTCCAGAGAAAGCTGACTCCTGCTTGACCAAGGTGGAGAGGAAATACAGTTGAGTTCTAAGAAATCAGGAGGGCTGGGTGTAGATTTGTTGCCATATCCAGCAGGCACTATTAGAAGGCTAGTGTGTTAGTCAGCTTTCTGTTAACTGTAACAAATACCTGAGATGATCAAATTATGAAGAGAAAAGGTTTATTTTGGCCTACAGATTTACAGGTTTTAGTCCATGTTGCTTTGGACCTGTAGTGACACATCATAATGGGAGCATGTGGTAGAGAAAAAACTACTCACCACCTCTCCAGGATGTGAAAAAGAGAGAAAGGGGGGTGGAGTACCATTGTCTTCTTCAAGGATATGCCCTAATGACCTAAGACCTCCCATGGGGCACTATCTGTTTAAAGATCCACCACTTCCCAATAGTGCCATGTACTGGGGACCAGGCCTTTAGCACATGGGCCTTTGGGGCACATTCAAGATCCAAACTATAACATCTAGCTTGGAGGCATTTAAAAAGAGTTGCTCCACTAGTAGTTTATGTCTGTGTTAATCCAAGACCTGATTAGGCAGAGTGCACCATTCTCCTAAATTACCTTGTTGGATCTTATTACAGCTCAGGAAGTATATCACAAATGAGCAGAAGAAGTGCTTTGGTTGATAAATGGGATTTGGGATTTGACCCGAGTCTGCCAGTCTCCAGAGTCTGTGCCCTTCCATTTTTTTTTTTCTTTGCTGGATATTAGTAGATTTGTGGAACTGTTTATTGGTTTAGACAGATCAGATAGAAGTTATGAACACTCTAGGGAGGGGTTTAAATTAAATAATGGCTGGTCCCTCCATAATAGGTTCTTCAGGCTGAGGAGCATGCGTGGAGGCACATTTGCTTGTACAGTACAGCGTCATGGAGCAGAGAAGCGACAGTCCCCCAGAAAACTCAGGGTGAGCCCTTGCTCAGGTTGTCATTCACCTGATAGAGTGCCCTGTGTGTTGCCAAAAGGGGCTAGAGAATGGCCCACCTTTGCCCCATCAGATTTTAGATTGGTCTCTGTTCTCCTGGACCCCAGGTGTGATCTTTGGATTCTCCTTTGTAGTAAGGAGAGAGGAGGGAGGTTTGGTGACCCACCCCCAGCTGTAAACTATGCCTGGTGGCAGGACAGCAAGAAGAAAAGGGTTCTGGGATTTGAACTTCAAGCTCCAGAGCTTCCTCAGTTTCCAAATTTAGTTTGGGGTAAAGGAAGAAGCTGCTGTTTATAAAGGGTGGAGCGAGGGAGGCACCATGCTTCAGAGTTAGGGGTACCCTAGGCCCTGGCATCAGCAGACCACATTATTCAAAGAAGCATAATTTTCTTTTCCTTTTCTTAGGAGACCACATTGGAACTCAGCTTAACATGGAGTTCATGGGTTGGAGGAAAGGAGGGGACCCACAAATCAGTCAGACACATGCACGAGTGTGTGCTATGTGCATCTTTCCAGCAGAGAGTGCGTGGGAGGGTGTCCTGGCATTAAAAAATGTTTACAAGCCACTGCCCCAGACCCTTAGCTTGCTTGTTGAGCAGAGAAGCAGGAGTGGGAAGCTGAGTGTTTGCTTAAAAGGGTGTCCATGTTAAACTAACAGGGATTGATGTATTATTTGTTTCCCCGCCTGACAGAGGTATTGTGAAAGTCGTCTGAGCTGACAAGTGTGTGAAAGTGCTCTGGTTATGGAAGGTGATGGATATAACACTAAACTACATTTTATAAATTGTGCTCCTTATTATTGAAACTTTGAAAGAGTTATTTGATGCTTATGGGACTCAAATTTTTTTATCTGTTCATTTTATTGTAATTATGGGCTCCTTTTCATTTCTTATACTGTTTACTTGTGTTTTAAATTTTGTCCTTGAACTCTGTTTATCCACCTCATTCATTTTTTTCATGTTCTAGTTCTGATAATCTTACTAATTTTATTAATTTCTGTTCTTATTTTATGATTTCCTTCCTTATCACTTGTAGGGGTTACTCTTTCTTTCTTTCTTTTTTTATTCTAGGGATTGAAGCCAGGGGTGCTTAACCATTGAGCCACACTTCCAGCCCCTTTTTAAATTTAGAGACATGGTCTTGCTAAGTTTCTGAGGCTGGCTTTGAACTTGCAATCCTCCTGCCTCAACCTTCTGAGTTGCTGGGATCATAGGTGTGTGGCACCATGCCCAGCTTCCTTACTTCTTAAATTGAAAGTTTATCTCATTAGTTTTGGAAACTTTGTTTTTGAACATTATAATCTCCCTGTACTGTCTAAAGACAGACATTTTTCACAGTTTGCATCTCTGAAGTTGGGACTGATCTTACCAGCACCGCAGGCCTAGCAGCAGGTGCAGAGCAGTTGTGTAGTCTTTGCTGTATGAGCATTGAGGCATGAAGAAGGCTTGTCCAGAGCTGGGAAGAAAATCCCAGAAGCAGTCAAGAAACTCTCATTTAAGAAGTGTTGCGCTGAGGTCAAAATCAGGTGGGAAATGTGAATTGAGTTGATGTAGGAGTCAGACTTTTGATGTGAATGAGGGATAATAATGCCTTTGCCAATTTATTTTGCTTTTATTTTCTCTCTTTACTTATACATATGAATCATGAGATTTGAATTTGCATCTAAGTCTAAAAGAATGCTTTAATAAGGGTAAAATAAAAATTCAAAGCGGTAAAAGTACCGTGTTTTTAATTGATAGCGTTTATTCCTTGAAGTTCGTAAAATAAAAATGTTGTTCAAACTGATGGTATCTTAGATCCAGTGAAATACAGTATATGCACTTAAGGCTCCAATTTGTAATTACTGTTTTTGTTGAATCCCACAAGTTTTGATAGATAGTATTTATGTCCATTGATCATTAAGCATCCCATGATTTCCATTATGATTTGTTCTTTTGTGTGAATTATTTAGAGTTGTGGTTTGAGTTTCCAGACTTATGGATGGTTTTTGGCTGTCTTTTTATTATTGATTTCCAGATGCATTGCATTGTGGTCAGAGCATGGTCTAGATTGTGTTTGTTGACACTTTTTTTGTGGCTTTTTATTGTCTGGGTAGTTCCTCCTTTGACAGCTGGGGACCGTCCCTTCCTCCTTACAGTGCTGCTCTTTTCCTGCCCCCTCCACTGGGCTCGATTTTATTCCAGCAGTTCACACGGCTTGACCTCAGTGTACCTGGGGCTGCTCCAGGCTCTGGGGCACATTCCAGAACAGCATTTCCCTCAGTCGACTGGCCCTACAAATCGTCTGAGGTGGTTCTTAAACACATTCATTCCCAGGTGGTCTCTTGTAGGTCTGGAATCTGCATGTTGAACGAGTGCCCTGCGTTGATTCTTAGGAGCCAGCAAATTTGGGAAATTCTGTGTGACTGGGAATTGGAAAAGGGGGCTGGATGGAGTATAATGTAGTGATGGAATCAAACTTGAGAAGAGTTTGTGGGAGGGGAACTTGTCCAAAATACAGATTTGCTTAGAAAGATTCTAATTTAATAGGTCTATGATGGGATTTAGGAATCTGTTTTTTTTTTCTTTTTGGGGGGTCCCAGGGATTGGACCCAGGGGTGCTGAACCACTGAGCCATATCCCCAGCCCATATGCATGTAAAGCATGATCCTATGTAGGCAAAATAGCAGTTAATTTTAAAATGTACTTCTCTGAGAAGTTTCGTATTTCTTTTAACCCGAGGTTATAGTGTGTCTATAGACCTTCTGTGCTCTATGAAGTTATGCACAAAGAAATGCAATATCTTTTTCATGATTGGACAAGACAGCCATGTATCCAAATAAAGTGATAAGAAACAGATTGACTTTTACTATCTGTACATTGTATGCATTGTCTCTGTCTGACAATTACTGGTTTTCAGGACTTCCTTACTTGTGATTGTGTGTGGTTAGGGAGTTATAATTCTTTTTTAATTTATTCACGGAAACTCTGAGATCTACTTTGTGCCAGCCATGTTCTGGATGCTACTAAAATGAAAAAGTCAGTCTTAGGGGAAGGGGTGCAGATTAATGAATGATTCCACAGTGGGAGGGCCATCCCTGGACGTTTTTGAAGGCAGTTCTTTCGGTCATGATTACCATCTGTATTCACTATCCTATGAACAAACCCTTTGGAAAGTTGCGAGATGTTCAATACAATGTACCTCGATGGGCAGCTGGACTCTGATCTCACCTGCACTCAGTTCAGAGTACCTACCTGTTTGTAGAGGCAGGCAGTCTAGCTTTGACTGTGGTATCACAGATACTTTGATCAAATCTGTGCCTAGATGTTTGTATTCTATGTGATCATAGACAAGTTGTTATCTTTCTGAACCTATTTTATCATTGTAAAACATGGAGGGGAGGGAGATAAGTAACACCTACATCTATGAGCTATTTTTTTTTTAACATTTTCAGTTGTAGATGGACATAATACCTTTATTTTATTTATTTTTATGTCATGCTGCAGATTGAACCCAGTGCCTCACACATGCTAGGCAAGCATTCTACCACTGAGCTACAATCCCAGCCTATGAGCTGTTGTGGGAGATAAATGGGAAAAGGTGTGTTAGGTGTTAACATAATTCCCTGTATGTAGTAAATGCTCAATAATGTTAGCTGTTTAGAAAGAAAACTATTTATAATCTATGGAATCAGATAGAGTGGCAGGCATTTCAAAGAAATAAATGAATGGCAGTAAGTGATTAAATGGCAATATCTCTTTTGCAGGTACTAAATGCAATAATTTCTTAGAACCTAACACCACATCCTCTGGCAGAAGGGTCACCCCCTCATCCTCTGTTGAAACAGGACTGTGTGTCAGTGAGCCTCCACGCTTCACCAGAGTGAGTGCTCACCTAGAGTAAGTAAGGGCCTCATGGAGAGACGCCACTGTTGGGATTAAACTCTGATCAAGAAGCTGATGATCTGACATGTAGTGCTTGGCACAGGTGTGGATTCTGGAGCTAAATGGTCTGGGTTCAAGTCCCAGCTCTGCAACTTAGTATCTAAGTGAACTTGAGTAAAATACTTTACCTCTCTAAGCTTCATTTGTAAATGAGGATAATATTTCTAAGGATTGTTTTGAGGATTAAATGAGATTATACATGAAAAGTGATTGGGAGACTCCCTGGCACACAGTAAGTGCTGTGTAAGTGCTTGTTATTATAAAATTCAAAAAGTGGGTGAAATTAAAGTGTATTTTTTAAAATATTTTTTTTAGTTGTTGGTAGGCCTTTATTTATTTGCTTATTTATAGGTGGTGCTGGGAATCGAACCCAGTGCCTCACATGTACGATGCAAATGCTCTACCTCTGAGCTACTACTCCAGCCCCTAAAGTGTATTTTTTGGAGAATACGTAGGCACACATAGGTGGTAAAACCTGAAAAAAAGAAAAAAAAAAAAAAGGAAAGAAATTGCTATCCTAAGAGTGACAGGGTGTAGTCACGTCTCCTGGGAAGGGATGTGGTTGGGGGGAGGGAGCTGGCAGTGTTCTATCTGTTCTGATGTTGGTTTTATAATTGAAAGACTGTATTTATGTTTTAGATACTTTTTTGAGGGGGGTTAGTGGGGATTAAACTCAGGGACACTCGACCACTGAGCACATCCCCAGCCCTATTTTGTGTTTCATTTAGAGACAGGGTCTCAGTGAGTTGCTTAGAGTCTTTCTTTTGCAGAGGTTGGCTTTGAACTCATGATCTTCCTGCCTCCGCCTGTGGAGCAGCTGGAATTACAGGCATTTGTCACTGTGCCCAGCTTTAGATGCTCTTCTCTGTATTTTTTTTTTACAGTAATACATTTTGAAAACTCTTTTCTAAGATGTTTGTTATAATGAAAGTTTATTATAGAAATTTAAAAAGTATAAAACACTATTAAAAATGGACATCACAATAATTACACACGTGAGAGAATAAATTTGAACATTTTGATACTAATTTTTTTTTGTATGTGTGTGTGTAGGATTGAACCTTAAATATGCTAGCTAAGTTCTCTACTACTGAGCTACACATCCTCTCTTGATATTAGTTTTTTATATGTGTAAGAGAATTTTTTTCTTATGCAGGCAAATATATATTTATTTTATACAATTAAGAGCATATACTACCCTTTTGTAAAATCTGCTTTTAAAAAAGATTCATTTGGGCTGGAGTTGTGGCTCAATGGTAGAGCGCTCGCCTAGCATATGCAAGGCCCTCGTTTGATCTTCAGCACCACATAAAAATAAATAAATAAAATAAAGGTATTGTGTCCAACTACAACTAAAGAAAAAAAATCCATTTAAAATTTTACTCCAATTAGAGGACTTTTAAGTTCACAGGGAAATTGAAGGGAGAAGGTACAGAGAGTTCCCATGTACCCTTGCTCCCTCACCCCTTGCTTCTCCACCTCCCCATGATCAGCATCCTGCTCCAGGAGTACAAATGTTACTAGTGATGAACCTCCATGGACACATCAGAAGCACCCCAAGTCCATGGTTTATATTAAGCTCACTCTTGATGTCGGGAATCCTATGGAACTGGACAAATATGCAGTGACTTGTATCTACTTTTGTAATTCCATACAGAGTGATTTTTCTTTTCTTTTTTTGCCCCACAATTAAAAAAAAAACTTTAGTTGTAGATGGACACAATACCTTTATTTTGTTTATTTATTTTTATGTGGTGCTGAGGCTCGAACCCAGCGCCTCCCACCCACTACGGGAGTGCTCTACCGCTGAGCCACAACCCCAGTCCTTTTCCCACAATTTTTAATTGGTGCATTATAGTTGTACATATTGATGGGATTTGTTCAGAGTGTTTCTCACTTTCCTAAAAATCCTATGGCCTCTGTGTATTCATCCTCTTCACTCCCCTAATTCTTGTCTCCGTGATTTTTCCTTTTCCAGAATATCATATCATTGGAATCACATGGTCTTTTCAGAGTGACTTCGTTTGCTCAGTGATCTGCATTTAAAGTTTCTCCATGTCTTTTCTTGATAGTTCATTTCTTTTTTTGTGCTGAGTGATATTCCATTGTTTGAATGTACCATGGCTTGTGTGTCCATTCTCCCACGGTGGAACCTGCTTCTTAACTGAACAAAATATGGAGAAAAATATCTTACATCTTTGAGTGTTTTTCAAAAACAGGGTTTTCAGTGACTACATGCTGAATTGTCAGATGGATAGACCACAGTTCAATCAGTGCCTTGTAGTTTTTGTTTTATTTTGTTTTTGCAGAGCTGGGGATTGGACCTAGGGCCTTGCACATGCTAGGCAGGTGCTATATCCCTAAACTATATTCCCAGCCTTGCCCTGCAATTTAAAAGGGGTTGTTTATTGTGAATAAAACTGTCATGTGTATCCCTGTATGTCCTTTTTCCCCTCTCTGGTTATGTTTTAAAGGTAAACTCCTAGAAGTGCAATAAAGTCACTCAGTGTGATTCTTTCCATAATAAAATCTGCTCCAAGGGCCTTGCTGCCCCCATCATAGACATGGAAGAGACTGGCATGATTCTTGAGCTTTCCCTCTTTAGGTTCTTGTAATAGGTGTGCGTCACTACCAGCAGCAGCGAGTCCATCTATTTGGAAGGAAAGAAACCTCAGACTGCCAGGTTTAAATCCCACAGAGTGGAACTGGGTGATTGGTACTGCTTCTCTCATGATGCCTGGGTTAAAGAGAACCTAATTCAGTCAAAGCACGTATGCTTGACTCTACAACTCTAGCCTAGATCTAGCTCCTAGCTTCAGATTGATACATTCAACTACTTGTTAGATATTTCCACATAGCTGTTTCACAGACTTCTTAAACTCTGAGTACCTTGATATCACCTTCCCTAAACTATGTCCTCTCCTGTGTACCCTCAGATGGCTGTCTCAGTGTTGCTCTAGTCCCAAAGATATAGTTAGACCCAAGGGTCACAGTGGTCTCCTGCCATTCACACAATTGGGATATAATATAGCCTTGAAGTATCTTAGAATCCATCTCTTCTGCTCCATCTGTATTACCCAGCCTCTGATCATCTCTTGTCTGGACCATGGTGATACCCTCCATACTAGTTATTTATTGCTGCATGACGAATCTCCCAAAACTTAGTGCCATAAAACAACCATCTGTAACCTCACATCTCCTATGGGTCAGGAATCAGAGTGGGATTTGGATGGAGTCTCTTGCTCAAGAGACTCTGAGCTCAAGGTCTCTTGCATGAGATTGCAGTCAAGGTGCTGACTGGGGCTGTGAGCTCATCCGAAGGCTTGATATAGGGAGGACCCACTGCAAGTTAACTCACATGGTTGGTAGCAGTATTTGGTTCCTGGCAGGCCTTTGGGTCTGAGAGCTTCGGTTCCTCACTGGAGCTTTTGCAGAGACTTCCCTTAGTTCCTTGCTTCTACCTAGGGCATCTCATAACATGGAAGCTGTCTCTCTTCAGCCAACAAACTAAACACAGACAAGGCTAGTCTTTTGTAACCTAAAAGTGACATCTTATCACTTTTGTTAGTTGCGAGTTACAAGGATGAAGAAGACTTGAAAGACAGAACCAAAGATTGGAGCCAGGGAACACGAAGGATTGATTGTAGCCACCAGAAGCTAGAAGAGAAGCATGGAATAGATTCTCCCTTGAAATCTTCCAAAGCCTCCCTGCTAATATCTTGATTTCAGACCTCTGGACTCCAGGACTATGAGACAAGAAATCTCTGTTTTTTTTTTTTTTTAATTTAACAAGATCTAGACATGATGACACATGCTTATAATCTCTCTTCTCTGGAGGCCGAGGCAGGAGGATTGCAAGTTTAAGGCCAGCCTGGGCAACTTAGTGAGAGCCTGTCTCAAAATAAAAACTGAAAAAAAAAGGCTGGGGGTATAGTTCAGTGGTAGAGCACCACTGGGTTCAAGGTTCAATCATCAGTCCCCTCCCCCCCAAAAAAACAAAAGAAAGAAAGAAAGAAAGAAAGAAAAATGGAGCCATATAGAAATATCTAAGTAATATCAAAGTCCCTCACATAGAATGCAGGTTCTTCAGTTTTACCTTCCTTCTCTTATCCAGGCTTATCTCCAACAGTCCTGATACATCCACATCAAACTTCTTCATTTCCCTGCTGTTCCTTCCCTTTGCTAATATTGTGTCCTTTGCCTGCAGTGGTTTCTCCCAATACCCTTTGCTTGTGTTCACATGTTATAGGTGCTGCTCAGTTTCCACTACTTCCTTTCCTATGGCCTCCTCTGTGCTGTTTCCCCTCCCTCCCTCCCTAGTTTTAATGAGTATTCTAGATAGAACTTGCCATCTTCTGGGACTTAACTCATTGGTTGTGATTGAATTAAGGGAGGGTACATGACTCATGCGGGACCAATCAGAGTCCTTCCCTGAGGTTTTTTTTTTTTTTTTCACACTGGACATGGGATAAAAGTTGGTTGGAAGACTGAGAATTTGAATTGGAGAGTGTTGACTGCTTTTTGTCCTTGTGAAAAAGTTTATCTGCAGTTGGTGAAAATGAAGCCAAAATGTCACAATAATCAGGAGTTCAGGAGATATTGATCCCTGATTCCAGCTCTATCCTTGTCAGGGAAACCTGTACACCCCCAGAATTGCTTAAATTACCATGGTTTGAGTTGGATTTCAATCGGTCCCAGCTATGAGTCTTGACTGATATATGTGGCAAACTTATACCCATCTTCTGAATCTCAGCTCATCCTTTTCCAGATGTCTGCTCTGACCCCTCAAATCTAACTGGATTAGATGTCCTTTCTGAGGGCTCCCTTAATTTCCTGGAGAGTCTCTACCACTTCATTTGCCCACTCTTCCTTGGTCACCTGTGTTTTGTGTCCATCTCTTCTCCCCAGCCCTAAGCTCCTTACATACAGGACCTGTGTTGAGTCATCTTTGCTCTCCAATGTCTAGAGTAGCAACTGCCATAGAATTGACTCAGGTAAATGTTTGTTGGATAAATAAAGTAGAAACGTACTTCCAAAGTTCTTTTGGAAAGTTTCCTTTATCCTTGCAACATTTTCTATGTAGTTCATTCAGCAAAACTTTTTCTTTGAACCCTTATATTCAGGTATTTTACAGCAAGGTAAAAATTGTCATATATTTGGGATTGAGGAGTACGCTGAGTTATTGAACTAGGGTTATTTAGTATATTTAGGCAGCACAGTCTGGAATCAGGAGAGCTGGGCTGCAGATCTAGCTCTGACTCAGTCTAGGGGTGTTTATCATAGAAAGTCAACTGAGAGTCCATTTCCTTTATAAATAGAAAAGATTATATTGATCCTTCTCAGACCACAGGATTATTAGGAGGGAGCAAACAAGACAAACCGTATGAAGTTTCTTTGAAACTATTCAAATGTGAGTGATGCAATTTTATGAAAAAATCCTATGAGTTGATAACTGATAATATATCTGAAAACGTTGTTTAAGATCATCTACCAAATGCTAAACCACTTAATCCAGAAATAGTTGCCTTTTCTGCTGACACTCATGATAGTTTGTTGTGGTATTTTTAACTGCTAGGAGGTTTAGTGCTAAACATATTGCTATTACTATAACCATTTTAGCCTAGATGTATTTTGATTATTTCTTCCTCTTCTCTATATACTTATTGATTTTTTTGTTTACATTTAATGGTTTTATTGAACAAACTTTTTTTGCGGGGGGAGTAATAGACTTACTGACATAAAATGTATATACTATCAGTTAGGTTCTCCAGAAAGATGGAACCAATAGACTGTGTGTGTGTGTGTGTGTGTGTGTGTGTGTGTGTTCCTTCATATACATATACATTCCTTCATATACATTAGAGAAGTTGGCTCACATAATTATGGAGGCTATGAAGTCTTCTGATAGGTCATCTGCAAGCTAGAGACCCTGGGATGCCAGTAGCATAGCTCAGTTCAAGTCTGAAGCCTTCAGAATCAGGGAACTGAGGCCAAAGACTGTCAGCCTGAGGCTGAGAACCTGAGAACCTGAGGAGGTGGGGGAAGGGGTGGACACTTGTCTTGGAGTTCCCAAAGGCCAACCAGCCTGGATTTCTATTTTTAGAGGTTAGTGTGTGTGTGTGTGTGTGGGGGGGGGGTGTTTGTGTGTGTGGTATTAGGGATTGAGCCCAGGGCTTTGTGAATGCTTGGCAAACTTTCTACCAATGAGCTACACCCCCAACTTGAGACTGAAGTTCCAATATCAAGGGTCAGGAGAAGAGAGCCCTAGTTCCAGCAAAGAGAAAGAGGGAATCCTCTCTCCTGTGTCCTTTTATTTTTATTCTGTAAGGACCTCAGCAGACTGGATGATGCCCACTCATATTGAGGGTGGATTCTCCCCTTTCAGTCCACTGACTTACTGCCAATTTTCTCTGGAAACATCCTCATAGACAGTTCTCTAGATGTTCTTTAAGTTAGTCAAATTGACATCTAAAATTAACCATCACACCATACAATTCACTTATTTGAAGTATGCAACCCTAAGGTTTTGATATATTTGCTGAGTTGCACAATAATCACTACAATTGATTTTAGGACATTTTTATTACCCCCAAAGGAAAGTTGTACCTGTTAGTGATAACTACCCAACTAACTCTTTTATCACCCCAGCCCTAGACAATCACTAATCTACATTTTGTCTTTATAGATTTTTTTATTCTGTACATCTCACATAAATGAAATAGTTGATATGTGATCTTTGGTGTTTGTCTGGCTTCTTTCACTTAACCTAATGCCTTCAAGATTCATCTATGTTGCAATGTACATTTTTTAATTGCTAAAATAAATATAGCAAATACTACTTTATCCAGTTTTAAGTGTACAGTAGGTAGCATTAATTATACTTGTAATTTTTTATTTTTTAATTTACTTAAAATTTTTTTTAGTTGTAGATGGACATAATACCTCTATTTAATTTATTTATTTTTATGTGGCGCTGAGGATCAAACCCAGTGCCTCACATGTGATAGGCAAGTGCTCTACCACTGAGTTGCAACTCCAGCCCTACACTTGTAATGTTGTATAACCATCACAAATGTTGGTTTTCAAAGATTTTCATAATCCCAAACAGAAACTTGGTACCCATTAAGCAATAACTTACCATTCTCCCCTCTCTCCAGTCTCTCTGACAATCTCTAATCTACTTTCTGTCTTCATACAAGTGGAATCACACAATATTTTATTTAATATAATGTTTTCAGTGTTTCCATATTGTAGTATTTAACAGAACTTCATTCTCTTTTATGGTCCAATAACATATATATATATATATATATATATATATGTATATACTATATATATGTATATATATATATACACACACACACACACACATGTATATGTATATGTATATGTATATACATACCAACTTTTATTTATCCATTCATCTATGGATGGACTTTTGGGTTGTTTTCAATTTGGGGATACTATGAATAATTCTGTAATAAACATGCATATATAAATATCTGAGTTTCTGTTTTCAGTTCTTTTGGATGTATGCCTAAGGAGTGGAATTGCTGGGTTACATAGTGATTCTGTTTAATTTTTTGAGAAACCATGAAATTGTTTTAAAGCAGCCATCTTTTGAATATATTTCAGCCCCTTTGAATTGTGAATAAATCAATAATATACTCAGGGACTTTTATAGATGAGTAGGCCCAATTCTACAAGTGAGAACTAGTATCATTCTAGTGTGAGACTTGTGAGATCAGATTCTGACTACCAGTTTAAGCACACAGAGTACTCTGATTCCTCCTCTTTCTTTCCAGCATTGCTACAGATTTGGGTCAGAGATCTTCCTCCTCACATTCGGATCAGTCCTCTGAAAAATCATTGCCTGAAGTCCAAAAGAATAAACACCCCGAGGAATTCAGCTTGCTTAAGTTACAGACAAGTGAGTAGGTCCTAGACCTTCTTCCACGTGCCTCTATGCCCAGGGTTATTCAGGAGTCTGCTATACTGTTGGCCACAGGCACAAAGGGCCCACTTTCTAATTCTCACAACAGCTCTGCTGGGGAGCTATGGTCATATGTTTTTCAAAACTGAAAAACATATGTCTTTATGGAAAAATCATAAAGGACTGCTGCAAAATATTAAAATAATATAAAAGTATATAGCATGTAAAAAAATCCCTTGCCCAATATTCTCCAACAATATCCCAATTCTTCCCCATAGCTCTGAAGAGCATATATATATTTTTCTAGAATTTTATAATGCATATGTATGTCTATGTATTTAGTATACATAGTATTTAGCACACATATACATAAACAGTCATGCACTGCATATATTTAGTATGTATACCACATTATAGTTTTACCATTATGTTAGAATGTGCTCATTCTACTGCCAAAAAAGCCTAGTGGATCTCATGTTTACCATGTCTCTTTTTTTTTCCCTCATTCATTGTTAAATTTTATTATTTTTTCTTTTTAGGTATACATGACAGTAGCATGTATTTTAACATATTATACATACATGGAGTATAACTTGTTCTAATTAGGATCCCATTCTTGTGGGATCCTTGTACATGATATGGAGTTTCACTGGTCAGCTATTCATACAGGAACATAGGAAAGTTATGTCAGATTCATTCTACTGTCCTTCCATTCCCATCACCCTCCCGTCCCTTCTTTCCCCTTTGTCTAATCCAGTGAATTTCTATTCTTCCCCCC